GCGGGGGGCCCCGTTGCACAGGTCGCCGGAGCAGCAGGTGGAGACCATGTTGTAGGTGGCGCCCTGGTAGAGGACAGGCTCGTCCCGGCGGCCGCACGACACGGCGAGCATGCAGCCCTTGTTGGTGACGCGCCCGAGGCCGGGGAGCACGCCCTGGCCCGTGAAGCAGTCCTCGTCGTCGCCGCAGGTCATGGGGACGCCGGGGCAGGTGGCCGACTCGGTGAAGTCACAGAAGATGCACCGCTTGGCCCCTGTCGCGCCCCGGGGCAGAGCCGTCAGCAGGACCAGCAGCCAGCCGAGGCCCATGGCGCCCGGGACAGCCCCTGGGGCGGCCTCGGTCCCCAACGCCCGGGTCCCCCTCGGGAGCTTCTTGGTGACCGCGGCTCTCGAGTCCCAGGGGCGCAGAAGCTTCAGCGGGACAGAGACCGGCGGAGGCGGCTGCCGGCGAGAGTCTCTGCGCGGGAATGGGGTGACCTCACAGAGCCCCGGGGTTCCACTGGCCGCTCGGGGTGAGGTCACGGGGGGGGAGGGGTGTCACAATCTGGGGCGGGTTGGCCCGCTGACCCGAGGGAGCGAGGACATTGCCACCCTGCCGAGGTCCTCTGCTCTGCTGGGTGCTGGGTGCTGGGTGCTGGGTGCTGCGCCTGCCGGGTGCCCACGGGGAGCCCATTTCTCAGATGGGCAAACCAAGGCTCAGGAGGAGAAAGTGACATGCCCGAGGCCCTAGAGCCAGGATTAGAGCCCAGGTTTACTTAATTCCTAAGAGGGCATTGTTTGAGCACCTGCTGTGTGCAAGACCAGTGTTAGATGCTTTCAGTAGCAGCCACTGCGGTGGCAGGACTCAGGACAGGGCTCAGCACAGCTCCAGGGCTGCTGGCGCCGGGCACTTCCAGGCACCTGCAGGGGGCTCCCCCCATGTTCTCTCCTTGGGATCTCTCTGTGTATCAGCTCCGCTCTCAGAGGAGCAAACGGGCCCAGGGGGCAGGCACAGCCGGAGCCTGGCACACAGCAGGCGCTTAACAAATGGGGTCATTATAGGAAGCACCTGAGTCTCAGAGCAGCCCCTGTGGGTGCCAGACAATGAACTCTGTCTCTTTCCAGAGGGGGAAACTGAGGCATCCCTCAGTGGGAACAGGCAGAGCCCAGGGTTAAACTCAAGTCTGAGTCCAGATGATAATTTAAGTATCTTAGCGTATCGTCCTCATGGAGTAGGTACCTTGGTGGTGCCCATTCTAGAAAAGGGGATGTTGAGGCCAGAGTGTGACAGGATTTTCTTTTGTAAAATTTTAAAATTATTTTTGACGGTATTACTGATGTCTCCCAATTTTCCCAGCTTTCCCCCCTTCCTCCCAGCTCCTGCCCCCCCAGGCCTTCCCCACAGTATTATCTGTGTCCATAGCTTATGCAAATATGTATATAAGTTCTTTGGTTAATCTCTTACGATCTCCCTCCACCCTTTCCATCTGAGATCTGTCAGTCTGTCCCATGCATACATGTCTCTGGACCTGTTTTGTTGGTCAGTTTATGCTGTTCATTAGTTCCACCTATAAGTGAGATTATTTCACTCAGCGTAATGTTCTCCAGGTCCATCCATGCTGTGGGAAAGGGTAAGAAATCCTTTTTTATAGCTGCATAGTATTCCACAGTATAAATGTCCCACAGCTTTTTTATCCGCTCATCTGCTGATGGGCACTTTGGCTGTTTCCAGATCTTAGCTATTGTAAATTGCGCTGCTATGAACATAGGGCTGCCTATATTCTTTCTGATTGGTGTTTCAGGGTTTTTAGGATATATTCCCAGAAGTGGCATCGCTGGGTCAAACGGCAGTTAAATATGAAATGTTCAGAATTCAGCATTTATCATTAAATTCTTTGGAAATCATGCTAATTTATTATGTAAATGGTGACTTTTTTGAACTGACAATTTGATCACTATAACCACTTATTTTATCCATGTCTCTCTTCTAAAATAAATGGCCTTCAAAATATACAAGTTACCTGTTACAGTTATATAATGGTCATTTAACCATGATTTTGGATCAATTATAACCCCAAAATTTAGATAATGACCAATCTAATTTATTTTTTCAAAATAGATTTATGTTTATGCATCTTATTTATATTGTTTCATGTTAAAGTTGGTTTCTAAATGTGTATCTCATCAATAAGTATTTGTATAAATTATTCTTACAAAAAGGAAAACTTCTGAAAAGTTTATTTCAATACCCCATTTGTCAAGTAATATGTTAGATTTTGACAGATAGCAGAAAGTTTATTTTGGGAAGTAAGAGAAAAGAAAGAATAGAATTTGGAGTCAGGAAAGCCAGGTGTTTAATGCTAAGTTGTTTGTTTTTTACTTACTAGTAACCTTAGGAATAGTATTTATAGTTTTGAGACTTAATTTCCTCATTTGTTAATTGAGGAAATAATATACATTTTATAGGATTATGGGTGAGATTAAGGGAGCCAATATAAGTAAAATCTATCATACTACCCGAAGCATATTGTAAATCTACGTTATAATAGCAATTTTATTGCTAATATTTTGGAGGGATAGCCAGCTACTCAACCAGTACTGTGCATTTATTTATTTTTATTTAATATTTAAAACATACAAAATAATACTCTTTCTCTGTAACTTTGGAAAGGCCAAAATATATTAACAACTAAATAAAAAATCTGTAATTGGTAACGCCCCCCCCCCC